AAGCCAGATTTAGGCTGAATATCAGGAAAAACTTCTTAACTGCTAGAGCACTATGACAATGGAACCAATTATCTCAGGAGGTGGTAAGCAGTCCATCGTGGGAGGCATTCAGGAAAAAAAATTGGACAGCCAGCTGTCACATCTGCTTTGATTTGGATTCTTGCATTGAGCAGAAGGTTGGACTCTATGGCCTTATATGCCCCTTCCCACTCAATTATTCTATAATTCTGTGATTCTAAATATGGAGGCTCAGATGGCTAAGTCTTCCTTCATTCAAAGAGTTCTCTCATCCCCAAGAATAGTAGATGTCAGAGGGAAGATATCTAGACTAATCTTCTCCCTGAAATATGTGTCTTCCATGTTCAATAAGCTTTTTTCATAAGAAAGTTAGGTTTTGAGAGCTATCCATTGACATTTTGAAGTGATGCAGCTCAGAAATGGACCTCAAAAACAAAACACAAATGGCAAGAAAAAAAAGGAGGGGATTTTTTTGAGGGGCAATATGTTCAGTTTGTTAGATTGCCTCTACTTACAGTTTCATAATTTCTGCTCTTCTTTTTGTATTTTATACAATGAGTCAATTTGAATGTAAGGATTGGAGCTTGATCAGTTTGCTCAGTTTTCTTCCCCTCCCCTTTATTTAAATTGAAATACCAAGTTGTTTCAAGCTACTGATTAGTACACTGACAGTAGCAGTGCAATCCAGTGTGCTTGGAAGAAAGTCTCTTTTTGAGATCAATATGGCTTATACTTAAGTAAGTAGGTATAGAACTGCAACCTAAATCAGAGTTTTGTCTTTTTTAGGACGTAATGGGAGTACCCTTAGACAAAGGGTGTAAAACGGGAGGATGGAATGAGAGAACATGTTTTAGCATGCCAGAAGTTTTAAATCCAGAAGGATCGTGCTTGTTCCTCATACTCTTCTCTGTTATCTATAAGGAGCTATTACTTACGGGACATGATTAGGCTTAAAGGTTGTGATAAAGAAGCTGGCGGACCAAAATGCAAAGCTATTACAGTGGAGTCTCGACTTATGTTCGGCCCCACCTACAAACTTTTCGACCTACGGACTTCTCAAGGCGCAAAGTTTCACTTCGACGTGCGGACGCAAAGTTTCACTTTGACTTGCGGCCGGAGGATCAACCTACAGACCAGAAGGGTGAGGCAGGGAAAGCGCCAAATTCAGAATTCAAATTTGGTTCTTTCCCTGCCTCCCCCTTCCAGTCCGTAGGCTGCAGATCTTAAGCCCTGAAAGCCCAATGCTGACAGCGGGCGCAGGGTGGCTTTCGGCTTCCAAAGCTGCCAGCGGGGGGAAGGTGGGGAAAGCCGAAAGCCACTCTGCACCCGCTGTCAGCTTTGGGCTTTCAGGGCTTAGAAAACTGGACCCACTGGCCTCTTGTCTCCTGTCCCCATTGCCTGGCAGAGGGCACTGGGGACAGGAGATGCCAGTGGGTGCACCTTTCTAAGCTCCGAAAGACGATCTGCCTGAAAGCCGCTCTGCGCCCGCTGCTGGCTTTCAGGGCTTAGAAAGGTGCACCCCCTGGCCTCTTGTCTCCTGTCCCCAGTGCCCTCTGCCTCCTGTCCCCACGGGGATGGGAGGCAGAGGACAGTGGGGACAGAAAGCAGAGGGTGCAGCTTTGGAAGCCCTGGATTTTTTTTCTCTGGCTGGAATGAATCAAATGATTTTCAGTGCATTCCTATGGGAAATGGACCCTCGACCTACGAAATTTTCGACCTGCGGCCACAGTTCCAATACGGATTAACTCCGTAAGTCGAGGGTCCACTGTACTCTTTTGCTCTTCAAGCTTATCACAATATTTAAACCTAATGTCCCACTTTGAAGTGTCTCTTTAGGCCAGGGCTAGTTAAGCTCTGGCCATCCAAATGTTGCCCTGCAGCACCCACCATCCTTTGACATAGGCCTTGCCGGATGGGTTGATAGGATTTACAGTCCAACCACATCTATAGAGTCATAATTTGCCCAACCTTTCTTTATATGAAACACACTTTATTCTTTTGGGTTGGATGCCCCAAACCTTCTATTGCATCCTAGTTACTGACATTTACTGTTACAAGCACTTTGCATTCCAGTCTCTGTCAAACACATGGTTGGCTGATGGGAGAATCAGATACCTTGTCAGCATCAAAAAAAAATTAAAGAATGACCAGAAACCTACTGGTGATTTATGCACGCATAAGTTAAATTGTATAACTCACAAGGTGTTGTGTAGTTAATTAGGTGCTAATTGAATAACCAGGTGTGCACCCAATTATGGAGCAGGTGTATACCTAATAATATGCCGAGTATCATATTAGTTAGCAGCAGTTCACCATGGTGAGTTACACAGTTTAGCTCGCACATATGTAAATCACTAACACGATTCCAGTGCAAAATTTTGGTAAAGGACACTGAAACACCTTTGACCTTCAACAGATTTAGGAGGTGTCAAACTGTCCACTTAAAATGAATAGTGCCCAGCTTAATTTAGAGCTGGGACAAATTGTTCAATAAATGATTGGATTATAAGTGTGTGTGCCTGCCCCCTTGCCAGCCATTACACAATGGATTGGATGATGCAGTGGTGACTTGCCTTCCAGTCAGGGGATTTTGGGAGATGATGCTTTTCATGCCACAGTGTTACAAGAATTTGATAAGGTATCAAAATTCCATAAGCTTAGTAACAAAGATACTACAGTACTAATATTGAAAGGTTAGTTAACGTTGACAAGAGCTGTGGCGGAGGGGCATTGGGTGGAGGGCATTATACTTCTATTAGCTTTCTGCCTGTTGTTTGTTAGTATTATCCTCTTGAAGGATCAAATGGCATCATTGCAAAGCAGATTTGTAACAAGACCTAGAATCTACAGGAGCAGACAATAGTTAACGTGTCTGCTCTACCTTTTGCGACCTACCTTTGCTAAACTAAAGTTCAGCTGAAAATGTTGAACGTTGTAAGAAGTGAAATATCAGCTCAGCTGCACTTCCTAGAGAGTAGCCTCTGTTTAATACAGTAGATCTGACTTCTGAGAAGGATGCTTAGGATTGTACAAGCATTACTGCAGAGCACTTCTGTATTTTAAATACGTTTAGATTTTGCCTCCTGTATTGTCATTCATTCAAACCAAAGGGGTGGGGGCTGTATTTCTCTTCAGAAGTGGCAGGTTGCCAGGGTGAGATCTTATTTATTTCTCTCTTCCGTTATTCTTCTGACATGCTTTCAAGGGTGAGCAGGTCAGAGTATTAGAATAACTAGATGCACATTTACCTGCTTGGGAGAGAACTGTTGCCAAGAGATTTGCTGGACTCGATGATCCATAGGGTCTCTTCCATAAGATGATGATGATATTTGTCTATCCTTGCTGTGGAACACATTAAAAAAAACATGATTCTTTCTGTTTTTGTTTTGTTATTGTTTTTAACAATCAGAGGCTAGCAGACCAATTTTTAAGATGTTTTGCACTGGTTCAAAATAATTTGTTATGGAAATATGCCATCACAATTTGATATCAGCGCAAAGTAGCATTACAAGCACAGAGAGTTTCAAGCGGTACCAGCGCATATGGGTGTGTAAACCAAATGGGAACATGAAGCTTTCAAGAGCAAACATATTTTTATTATCCATGTTTTGTTACATAGTCGTGAAAGTGTGGCTATGGAGAGACTTAGGAATCACTGGGGAAATACTTTCCTTACGTTTCCTAATTAATGCACTGTAGAACTGCAACAAATTTGGATCATAATTCCAATATAAAATAACAAAATTAACAAAAAGTACATGAAGATGAAATGTTATATATAAAATAGGGAGATCACCATAAAATGATAAGTGAGACAAGGCCGGACATGGCAAGGACAGGAGTTTATTAACACAAGAGATGAAAGTGCTCACTAGAAACATATTTCTGTCTTAATTGTATTTTTGGATAACCTGAGTTTGTGCACTGGGTTTAGTGAAAGGGCAAGTTGCCAGACCCTGCAGATCCAGTTGTGTAAACCCCAAGGCCCTGGGCACTTCCAAGTTGTCTGATTTCTATGTATGCTGTAGCTAATAAGCAGTTAATAAGATAATCAATATGCAATGCCTTCTTGTTTCTTCTTATAAACAGAGGCCAACTGTTTCTGTTTCTGAGCATCCTTCCTCTTGAAGGCAACAGCAGTTCAGTGGAATGACCCATTTGAAATTAATTCTCTGCAGTAATGTTGCCCTTGGATTTGTCAGTCACCTTTTGTTCAGAAAAATGGTGATATCAGCTTCTCCATGAGACCTCATGCTGGTTAAAACTCTCTTCTATATGGCGAGTTTCTGTAGGCTGCTTCATTTGCATTGCATATTATTTTCAAGAGCAAAGCCTACAACAGCAAGGCCATGTCTGCTGTGGATCTTATTTATGCATTTCTAGTTATTCAAATTTTAAATAAAAATCCCTTTATCCTTTAATTGCCATGTAATGAAATTCTGAGAGGAACCCCAAGTGCTGTTGCATATATTGCTTCCAAGCCTCCAGCTAGCTTAGCTTAAGATATTTTGGCAATACATGTTAAACTGATGCTATAATTCTGAAAATGTTTATGAATTCAGTCTTGTTGACAAAAGGAGATTCTTGCGTGTACACAATAGAATAGGTTTTACTAATGCCGATGTCTGGCATCTCTGTTCTGAATGTTGGATCTGTCAAACAATGAGATGTGGACCTAGAGGATGCTCTGCTCCTCTTCAGTTATGTACAGTAGTACAAAAACCATTATTGCAGTTTTCTATTTGAAGAAGTTTAGATTTTTCTTTGTGTATTGTCATTCACCAGGAACATGGGTGCCTAATTTTCCTTTTAGAAGTGATAAGCTACTAGGGGTAGATCTTACTGGAGGGTATCGGGAGAGCCTTCTGTCCTTGCTGCCAGTTCTTTGACCTGATCACAAAGGAAATAAATTAATTTCTTGAATTTGTTTCATATAACAAAGCTACCTAAACTTACCTTTGCTCCCTCCTTCTTTCTTAAAGGTAGTGGAGATTCCTCTTTGGAAAAGGAGTTCACCTCCACGATTGTGGGGCCCACAGTGAGCACACCAAATAGCCAGCATTCCTCCCCAATCCGATCCCTTAGTGGTGAGTACACAATCTTCTAATTCCAGCAGTTTGCTTTCAAAATGTATTATACCGAGGTGTGGTCAGGGCAGAGGCTACTCTTCATATGCCTACCTCAGAGATAGGCAATGGTGGCCCTCAAGATGTTGCTGAATAGCAACTCCCGGCATTGCATAATTATCATTGGCTGGGACTGATGGGAGTTGCACTCCCACATTTATATTATGCTGCATGCCATCAAGTTGCTTCTGACCTATGGTGATCTTCCCAAACCCTTCAAGTTACGAGATATTTAAGGAGTGGTTTTTACTATTGCCAGTAACTAGTGAGCTTCCATGGCTGAGCAGGGATTTGAACCCAGGTTTCCTGAGTCCTAGTCCATCACTCTATTTCACACTGGCATCATGATAACAATTTCTAAAGAACCACAATTGCTGTGCTTGGTCTAAAGCATTGCATACCTCTTCAGTTTTATTTTATTCAAGGTGATCTATAGAAGAACAATTCACAGATTGTGCGAAGAATCTGTTGTGGATTCATTCTGGATGTAGCCCTGAGAAAGAGCAGGTTTTGGTGGTTGTTGTGGCTTTTTCGGGCTCTTTGGCCGTGTTCTGAAGGTTGTTCTTCCTAACGTTTCACCAGTCTCTGTGGCCGGCATCTTCAGAGGACAGCACTCTGTGCTCTGGTCTTGGCATCCCAAGTCTGGGTTATCTGGACTTTTTGCAAAGCCAGTTAACAACTTTCTCTACACAGTATTTTATGCTACTCTGTATTTCTGGTCCTGTATTGATATACCCACTTGGCCACTCAGATATGTATCTGAGATTTTTAGTTTGAGAGATTGAATCTCTATGCAATTATTTTCAGATAATAAAGGAGAGGGCAGTTCAAGAGAACTATGTTAATTTACAGATTGGGATTACTGGGGGAAATGTTAGTGATGCTAATTCACAAGGGCCAGAGAAGAAAAGGGGGGGGGATGTTACAAAAAAAACTTGGATGCATTAATGGATTTCTAGTGTACTCCACCACCGGAATTTCCTGTTGATTTTTGTGAATGTAATAAATTTTACAGAAATGAATGAAGTCACTAAATTGGAGGACACGTCCATGCAAATAATTATTTGTATTAGACAGCTGTGAGATCTTAATCTGAAACTGTTGATGTTAATAGTCCAGTCAAAAGGGGAATAGTAAATGCTTCAGATGGAAACCCAGTTTTTGTCATTAGGGGAAAAACATTCAGAAGTCCTTCTCATCTATGCAATTCCTTAAGGACCTGATGGTCCACTGGAAAGCATCAACTCACTTGTTCAGTGTAACCTGAAGGGAATCTTGCATTTGAATTTAACAAACAGGAAATGGATATCCTCCCCATGAACAGGGAGACACTGGCTGATGGTGTTGCTGCTGATCGGTCCTGATTTCACAGCTGGTTCAGCCAGCAAGCTCATGCCCCAGTGGAGCAGGAATATATTACATAACCTGTTTTGCCAGCCCAACCAGACACTGCTTTCCTTCTGTAAGGAAGACAGCAGAACAATAGTCAAGCCCTCCCTTCTCTGCCCAGGGGAAAAGAAAAAAGAAGAAGAAGAAACTCTCATGCTGAAGGGATGGGAAAACACAAAAGTTCAGCCAGCCCCAGTGTATCTAAGCAGCTCCTGTCCTAGCGGGCAGGCTTTCACTTTGTATTTGTGCACAGAGGTGTCATCTTGTGCTGAATCTCCAGGATGCTGCTCCTGGGTAATAGGGTACAGTATTTTTTATTCTTTAAGTCTTCTAAACTGATGTCCCATTCTGTTACTACCATCAACACTACATGCACAGCCCAGCAGAGTGTTCTGGCTTCAAGGACTATTTTCAGCCCACCAGTTGACTTGTCATGTGGCAGACCTGCTTTAAAAGGCTCCCCATCTGCATTTTCCTTCTGAGCAAGACAAGACATTAAAAGCAGAGCTCCTGGGATGCTGGGGTGCCTTGTGCTGCCTCAGTCAATAGTTTTCCCTTGAGGCTACCTCTGGCAAGGAACTTGTTTGTTTAATCTCAGACCTCAGTCATATCATAAACTGCCCCTTCCCTGAGATACAGGCATCCTCCTGTCCTGGAAAAATATGAGATGAATAGTTTCTGGAGGAGAAGTATTTTCTTCCAATGTTGCTCTCTTTGGCTAGATATGCACCTTCGTGAGCAAAGGAGATCAGGTGCTGACTAACTGACCCTACTAGCTCTCATGGGCATATAAACATCAGCCCTAGCATTGCACTGGGATTTGTGTACCTTTCAGTGGCATTGTTTGGGTGGTGCTCTGGGCTGGCACTTGTTACATCTGAAAGGGTTTTGTATGCATCTCTGTTGCTGCCGGCTATCAGTCTGTCTGCCCATCACAAAGCTTCCCAGTTGCTATGTTTCCTTGATTCTGAAACATAATAGGTTGCATATATGGGGGGGAAAGAGACAATATATCCGCAGTAACCTGTCTTCTTTACTACTTTAATCCCCAATGGAATTGCAGAAATCAAACCGTTGTTAGCAATGTATATGTCAACTTGGTGGTGATTTTCACCTTAATTCCAAGTACCAGGCGGGTATGAGAAGTGTTGGATTACAACTCCTATCAACCTCAGTAATCATGGCCATTGTACCCCAGCACATCTGGAGGGCATCTAGTTTACATTTCCACCTTTCATAACATATGAGTGTTGTTGAGGTCAAACTAAATATCACTGAAGCAGCCTTGTCTGTCTCATGTGTCTGCCCCCTTCCTTTACAAAGTAGGTGGTGGGGGACTTTTGAATTGAAATGTAAGAAAGGAGTGTATGGATGAGGAGAGGAGAACTGAACCTTCCCGCTCCTTCCTTCACTGTTCTGCCTTGCCCCAGACTCTCTTTCCCTCCAACCAGAAAGGGAGGCACTGGCTTCCCTTTTCCTGTTAAAAAAGCCCGCTTCCAGCTTTAAAGGAGGGTGAACCTTTGCTCAGTAAAAGGACATGTGTTTTGCATATCAAAGGTCCCCAGTTAAATCTCCAAGTCAGAAGAAAAAATTATGTCTAAAACTCTGGAGACTTCCCCACAATCAATGTAGATGATTCTGAATGATGTGGAGCATTGGCCTGGCTCCATATAGATGCCATGGCTTCTCTGTCAGTTGCACTTTGGTCTTAGCTTGCACTGCTCTTCCACGGTGGCAGAATGGTCCAGTACTTGGATGAAAATGAAGGGGGGTTCGGAGAGGTGTACATTAGAGCCCTCCTTTTGAAATACACTCAGGCTGTGAGCCAGAGGTTCTAGGGTGTTTATTCCATAAGGCCTTTTAACACCGTACCTTCTGTAGTAAAAGCTCCTCTATCTATCAAAAGATAGAGACAGGAAGTTCTCATCTCTCAAACTGAACACTCCATTAGCAGCTTCAGAGGACAGTCCTGCCTTCTGCTCACTCCCTAAGTTGCAAACTGCCTCCAGCTTGGAAAATACTTATCTCTGCTGGATATTCAAAGTTACCTGATTTCTTCTACCTGTAAACTACTGTATTTGTTTATGATGTAAACACTCTGGCCCATTGACGTGATTCAAATGTCTGCTCTTGTAGGTGTTTGATTATCCATTTTCTTTCATGAAGGGCTGGAGAGGAATGTTTTGTGGGTATGAAGCATGAAATGCCGCATGTCCTTGCAGGAGCCTGTCACTCAGATGCAAAGCGGCAGAGGCAGAGTCTTTTCTGCTGCTGTGTTATTCATTCTTCCCACTTTTAAATATACTGTAACAGATTTTACAGCCTGAAACGATACAAGTATCTCCTGCTGTATATTACCTTGGCAAGAACTCACATGATATAATATAGCAATGCATCTATCTCGTGCACTCTTGCCTGAATCAGTAGATATGGGCTTGTTTTTGGAGACCGGATCTCAAGTGTAAGCCTCCAGTGGTAGGTAGCTTTTATGTGTAAAAAGGCCTTTTGTGAAACATGTTGAACATTCCTCCTGAAGTAGTCATACTGGGCAATGGTAGAAAATAATTCACACATAAGACTCTGAAAGTTTCTCTTCAGACTTGTTAGTTCTTTGTAATATCTACCAGTCCTCTCTTTACTAGCTGGAGGTCTGGAGCAGGAAGAAGGAGCTGTTCCTTATTGGGGTCTTTTTGTCTCCTTTTCCTTTTTGATATTAAGAAGAACACTGCTGTATAAGCTGTGCTATTAAATGTTTCTTTGTTTGTTTATTCCTATTTATTCTTTTTTGCTCATTCCAGAAGTCTCTGTTCCTTCCCCCCCCCCAATCCTCCAGGCCAAACTGTACTTGTTGCTTAAAAGAAGAGACTAATCCATTTACAAATGTGTAATAGAAACTTATATTTTGTTCTCACTTGTTTTAATCCATAGCAAATTCTATCAAGGTGGAAATGTACAGTGATGAAGAATCAAGCCGACTGCTGTCGCATGAGGACCGGCTCATTGAAAAAGAGGACAGTGTGATTGTGGAGGATTCCCTCTCAGAGCCTCTTGGCTACTGTGATGGAACAGGGCAGGAACCACATTCCCCTGGCGGCATCCGACTACCCAATGGCAAGCTGAAGTGTGACATCTGTGGGATGGTGTGCATTGGGCCAAATGTACTGATGGTGCACAAACGCAGTCATACTGGTGAGCAAGCTTGGCTGCTGGAAAAACCAGTAGCAACCCAGAACTAATGCAGATGCTTGGCATTTCTTTAATCCCCTAAAGTCCTTAATGGTGTGAGCGCCTTCTTGCCAGCTCCAGGCACCTTTGCCCTCTATGCACTCTCTAAGGTAGTTTGACCTAGAGTTGCTACATACTGAATGCGGGACCTTCTTCATGCAACCGTAGAACTCACTTGATCTCTGGATCTTTGCCTTGGCTCATCCGAGGCCATCTACTGAGTTTCTGCCTGAAGCAAAATTCAAATTAGAGAACCTTCAGGTTCCCACTCTTAACCATTCTATCAACTCTCAGTAAAGGTGGACAATATGCATTCCAATCTAAGTAAAAGGAACAGAATGGGTTAATTGCTTTTAAAATATATTATTTATTGAGTTTTACTTCTTTTAATGTTACCGGCCGCCTTTAGTCCCCTCGTCAGGAGAAAGGCAGCCTAGACATGGCACTAAATAACTAAATATGAATGGATCTCATGGTCCAAGGGCAGAGTAGAATTAACATCCAAGATTTGAGTAACAGTTACTGGGCTAAGCACAGCTCAAAGATCAAAGGAGGTCACAGAACAGCTGGCATGGGCATTGGGAATGCTGGGTCTGCCACTGACTTTGTTTTCAGTTCTTTTTGTGTACAGAAAAGATAACACAGAAAGTATATTCAGGGTATGAAAGTTCATAATTAAGATGCTCATAATTAAGTTGCTGTTCAAATGCTTGTAAACTAGGTTGAGGAATCATAGAAAAATAAGTTCAGCAACAGAAAAAAATGAGCCAGAAAAAATTCTCTCCCCCTGCCCTCCCAATTTGGGATCATCCCAAAATGGATAGGTGCAGTGGTGTTTTTCAGGTGAAAGCAAGGGCCGTAGCTACCCACTCACAATGCTCTTCTTCCTAGGCGAGAGGCCATTCCATTGTAATCAGTGTGGTGCCTCCTTCACACAGAAGGGCAACCTCCTGCGCCACATCAAGCTGCACTCGGGTGAGAAACCCTTCAAATGTCCCTTCTGCAACTATGCCTGCCGGCGAAGAGATGCACTTACTGGCCACCTCCGCACACACTCAGGTAGGTTGCAGGGCATTCCTCTTGCCCTAAGGCTAGTGCTTGGTTGGTTGATCGTGCTGTTAATTGCCTTGGCCCAAACCGCTGCCAGTGGGCAGTTAGTTGGCTTTGCTTTTTGGTTTTAAAAGTCCACGGACATCTCAGCACCCTCTCCGTTCTCTCTGTTTCAACACTTGTTTTCATTCTTCGCCCACTCATTTGACTCATCTCTCTTAGGATTCCATTCTGTCTGGGAGACATTGTTTTCCTGTTACATGTATATCCCAAGAACTAACTTTAACATATGTAGGGCTCCCAGGAGGGCTTTCTAGACAGCAGGGCTGACCCAGCTCCTAGCTAAAGTAAAGCGGTCACCTCAGGTGGTGGAGCAGCAGCAAAGCCACTCAACCACGCTCCGTGCACCCACTGTGCATGAAGTTACAATGGGATGCAGTGGGGAGAAGAGAGTGACAGCAGCAGCGGCAGCAGGTTGTTTCAAATCTCTCCTGGTCACTTTTGGAATGTAGCTACTATGTGGATGAGTCTGGTATGGCAGTAGATCTGCTCCAGCCAGCCAGCTCGAGGTAATTCAGAATTCCCCCTCTTGTTGCCACTACTGTCCTCTTCTTCTTCCCCCATAAATGTCCCCATTCAGTTCAGAAGCCCAGGGAGCAGCAGTGGCAGCACTTATTTCCTCACCTCAGGTGGTGGCAAAGTTTGTGCCCAGACAACCAGCCTGTCAGTCTATGATCATATGCATTTAACTTTGAAGATGGAACAGCCTTTCTCATATTTCTCTGCCTTTAAAAACATTCCTATGGTTAAGGCACCTCTCTCAATTTAGCTGATGTTAGAAGCCTTTATGCCCATGACATTAAATTGCATAAATAGGGTTTTTGTCTCACTTTTCCTTCTGGTCCACATTTGCTCTTCAACTGGCTTAATCTGTCTTTACTTGCTTTATGAATTAACCTAATCGGCTCGTTGGTCCCTGAAGATGCCTTCTTTGTATCCACTGCAGTTTATTTGAATGTGAGGGCAATTAGACAGGCATATAGCTCATTGTTTGGTTCACTTTTGGGGCTGTTTCATCCACCTTATTTTCCAGTGACCACATGTGTTTTCAGTAATAATGATCCATCCCACTCCTTTGGCAAGCTGGCCTGTTCCTTTTTGGAACAGCGCTAGCGCTGCAATTGTTTGGTTCAATTGGGAGCACTGTTGATTATTCCACTAAGCAGCCTGCATGGTTGGTTAATCTGCTCTCAAATAGAGCTGTGAGCCATGAGCTCTATGGTGACAACCTTGTGACGTATGCAGTGGATTGTTACATTACAAGTCATGATGGAGAAATGTCTTCCTCTATTTTGTGTTCTCTTAACTTTTTTTAAAAAAAGTATTTCCTTAACTGATGGAGCACAATTCTAATACATTGGCAGTGCCCTTCAATACTTGTATTATATCCGATGCAGCGCAGACTTGTTGGAACAGAAGTTATGGGAAAGTTGTCATGGTGGGGAAGTTGCCACGAGGAAGCAGGCAGGGAAAGCATCATGAATAATTGAAAGAAATTGGAGTTGGACTTGAAATGCTGTCGGGATCCTTCTCACAGGAGAAGAAACATCCCCTGTGTGAATGGAAGGATCACACAAGTGCAAAATAAAATAGATCACACCAAAGATAGGAGCCTTTTAAACATGAACCGAATTGCTCCAGCTTTCCCATGGTCTCTGTGTGTTTATATCTCTGACTTTCATAAAAAGTAAAATACAATAAAATAAAATTCTGACTAGTGGGAAGGGACAATGCATTTCTTGAAACTTCCCGAGGTGCTGACATGTTGGTCTGTTGCTGCAAAAACAATAAGGAGTCTTGTGGCCTAAAATAACATGTTTTGAATAGTATACACTGTCGTGAACGGTAGCCTGCTTTTTCAGGTGCATCCGAAGAAATGGACTACAATTCAAGGCCTTGGCTTGCACTTCTTCATTGGTCTGGGACTATTTATATTCACACAAACAATCCTGGCCAACTCTTGACTCTTCATCCCCTTCATTTTCCCTAAGTGCTAAATAGGCAGCACCTCCTTTAGTGATTATTGCAATTTCATTAGCACGATGATTACTGAGGTCTCCTCTCCCATTCCACCAGAATGGATATACTGTAGTCCCAAATACTTCTAGTACATCTTAGACAAAATGTACATTCTGTAGAGTTGTGAGCTTTTATGTCATACAAAGGTGTTCTTCATAAAGGAACTAAGGATTTCTCTTCTGTAAAGGAGCTGTACAATTCCAGCAGTACATTTGTTTCTATTAACAATATAATCAAGAATTATTCTGTGTTCTGTCCTGTTCTTCTTAGAGTCAACATTTGCAGCATTTTTTTCTGTGCCAATTAAAACTTTGCAGAGGCAGACCTCCCTGCTAAATGACTGATATTCTTGCTTTGTGTCCCGAACTTAGCTTTTCTAAGAGTATTAACTGCTTCACCTTTATCTGTTTCCTGGAACTATAGTTGTTGGTGCTTGTAAAATGAACTGATTTCAGTGAAATTTGGAGAAATGTGAACTCTCTGTGGACATCTTATATTAGTTAGAATTTAAACACAGTTCTATTTCACAATTTTGGGGAAGTCACATAACCATTTATTTCATGCTGAAATCCTACCGGTAGGTGCTTAATAATTCAGTGGGCAGAGAGAATGTCAATGGGGCAGCATTTCTAATCTGCTGCTAGGTTCTTGCATCTTCCTTTGAAGCTCTGGGAAGACGTTGGGTCAAGTTAAACCTTGTCATGAGCCAAATCAGTTCATGAAAGATTCATCTTCCCAAGCCCAGTTAAAAGCTAGAGTTAACAATACGTGGCTGCACTGGCCATGTCTTATTCTCACTCTTGGGAGCACGAATACTTGAAAGAAGCAGAGCAGTGTCTTGCTGACCTGTGGTGTGCTTTAAAGGCAAAGAGAAAGAGCTCTGTTCTGTAGAAATGGAAGCCTTTGAAAAATCAAGGGCCTCCTGTCCATCACAGTCACCAGTCAGCTTGCTAGCGGGGCATGCAGCTTCCTCTGCTAAGGCGAAGTTGATTCACTTCTGCATCATATCTAGAGTGAGATAAAATGGGTCTGGAGGCTGAAGAGAAAATCTGCATTTCCTTTGCAATCACCTGTGTCTTCTCAGGGAGGCCTGCCTGTCACTTTGGGAGGCCTGAGTCTGACTCAGTAACTTGAGTAACTGTGGTTCTCCCTTCCGTTTTGCTTTCTATGACTGTTGCAATGCTTCATTTGATTAGTTTTAATTGGAGGTTTTTAAAAAAGGTGTGTGTGTGTCGGACAGGTTGCTGTCTTGTTGGAGAAAATATAAGCAAAAATGGCTTCCTCACACTCGGCTTTCCATCTTGCAAAGGAGGAGGTCTACACATTATTTGGAAAGACCTGACTAACTGTCGTGTGAGCACAGACGATCAGCATGTTTTTTGTAAACTTGTGCAGAGGTGGGGGGGGCACCGTGGAGCCATGACAGCTCTCTTCACAGATCACTGTACACCGCCAGGATGCTGCTGCTGTGTGCCTCAGGGCCTTTGGTCTTCCTGAAGAGTCCTTCAGTCTAGAGCAATCAAAATCAGTTGTCACTTTCCCCAACCAGCTTCCACTTGGGTTGTTTATGTCGACAGTTAGCAATGGCGACAGCTCATCTGATTCTGACCCTTCAGGGAGCCAGCCAGTAGGTATCCATGGTGCTTAGTCTGATGCTCAGTATTATTTTGCATGTAACATTTTGAGACCTGGGAAAGACTTTAAGGATTTGAGATTTGTTTGGTAGCGAAATAGAAAGGTGTTGGCATTTGCCACCCAGCGAGACACTGCCTCTGCAAAGAGCATTTTTCAGGGTCATTGTACTCTGGAGCAGAAGAAAAAGTCCTAAGGCTGACCAGCTGGATTATGGGAACTGACATATAACTTTAGTAAAGTAGTGTCTTCAAAATTAGAAGGGTGTCTTGCCAGCTGAAGTGCTAGGTACTAGAGCACAAGGTTCTAATTTCTGTGGAGTAATTAGTTAATACAGAAGAGTTTGGACACCTTAGGTGCCAACAAGCCTCAGAGTCAGTCCTTGGTCAGTCTTGGCATAAACAGAACAAATGCTCAAGAAGCCTCACACAAGACCCTCATTAAATACAAAGGATAGTTCATCACAGAAATATTAAAGCAGCATCCCAATATTCTTCCAACCAATGGATTAGTTATCAATGAGATGCTAACCCTGTGGTCTGCATTATGGCCTGTTGGACTCACATGACTTGAACAGTCCTCCATTTGTCAGCCTAGCCTGTTCTATGCGATGCTTTTTAAGTGCCAGGAATGCTCTCACCTTGAGCCTGGAATGGCACAGCCCCAACATTCAACGTCTACTTGTCCGCAGGGGCTGCTGCTACCTCTTGCTGCTGCACAAACTCTTGCTGCCATTTCCTGGGGCTATAAGAATGCCACAAGACTTCCTTTTCAAGAGTCTGGTCATGGTTTATCTCAGATGTTTAAATCTGATTCTGTGTGAAGGACTTGGAACAGAAAACTCTGTCACAGGTATAAAACAACAAATATACCCCTGTCTTAAAGGCTTGCCTTATAGAATTGTATTCGGTTCATCTACTGTGATGGTCAAAGGGCAAAACTAAATGTACAAAAGAAGTATTACAGACTCTCTCTAGGGAATAACAGAACAGTTTCCAGAGACCTAACAGAGGATAGAATGGGGAACATTTAAAATTAATAAATCCTTAGTATTTACTAAAAGAAAAAAAGAATTAAGCAAATCAGTAGTGACTAATTCATATGAAAAATAGGCTGCACATTGGTACATAATATTAATGGATTAGGTAGCATGTAGTATTTTAATACAGGGTGAGGCAAAAAAAACCCTGAATTATAAAGGTCAACAAAAAAGCACAGTAAATGTGATTCAAAATTGTATGTGCGTGGAATACAGTTTGTTTTCATGTAGTTTGGAAAATGACATCATCCAGATGGTA